CACCGAGAGGGTCCGTGCAAGGCAGTAGAGGGGCTTCTAGAGTGTCCAGGGGACAAGGCCGTGGAGGCCAAGCTCAGACCGTGAGTGACGGTCATGTTGAAATGGTAAATGAGTCTTACGAGTCCGAGGAGGATTCAACGTATCAACCGGGAACAGAGCCGGTTGAGACCCCATATGATGGGGAATATGACGATGTGAGTGAAGAGAGCGATGATAATGACGCGCTTGAAAGAATGGAGGAACTACTCCGACAGTATCAACAAGATCGTCAAAGGCGTCGGGCAAGGCGTGCTTTGGGAGGGGCTTCAAGAAGAGGAAGCCATGTGGGATCTAGAGGACATGTAGAGTCCCGAGTAGATCGGGGTGCTGAGGTCCCAATAATAAGGATCTCGAAGTACCTCAAAGAAGCGAGAGATTTGGGGTGTAAGCCGTTCGATGGAACGGGAGATATCTCCGTTGCGGCGGAGTGGATCAAAAGATTCAATGAAGCGGCTCTTGATATGCAGCTGCCGCCAAACATGAAGATGAGAGTAGCAACGAGGTTGCTAGAAGGAATGGCGTCCACGTGGTGGGACGGAGTCAAGGGGAAGTATGGTGAGAATGTCACTTGGGAGAATTTCCGGCAGGAATTCTTCAACCAATACTACTCCGACTTTGAGGTGAACTTGAAAAGGAGGGAATACACCAACTTGACCCAAGGAGGCAAGTATACCGTGAGGCAACTTGAGCATAAATTCAGGGAGCTTGCCGAGTTCATACCGGAGTATGCTTGCGACGAAAACCGAATGGTCAACCACTTTTGGGATGCCTTGGATTTGGACGTGCGTGAGAGGGCAACACAATTGCCTAACATGACGTTTAGTCAGGTGGTTGAACAAGGTTTGAAAGGAGAGAAAGAATGGGAGGAAAGGAAAATGAAAAACGCCGAGGAGGCGAAGAAAAGGAAATGGGAGAGCACCGGCCCTCAAGGTTCTAGTAGAAGGGGGAACCACGGGGGAGGTGGATCTTTTAGAACACCCGCACCCCCATCTAGGGGAAATCAAGGCCCAGAAGGGCAAGGTTCGAGGTCGCGGGGCTCGGGCGTAATGAGGTGCAACAATTGCAAAAGAAACCACTCGGGCAAGTGCCGTGATCCCCCACGGTGTTACCAATGTGGGGAGGCAGGACACTTGAGATCGAATTGCCCACAACTTGGGCGAGCCATGGGTGCAGGACCTAGCAGCGGGACTACGGCAAGTAGGAACCGGGCAGGAGTACCTCATGGGAGCACGGGGCACGGCGGGCCAAGTACAAGCAACGCACCCTCCGTGAACCAAGGGAAGGCCCAAGCTAGGGTCTATGCAACGACGGAAGCCGATGCTCGTGCTAATCCGGACTCGGTTGCGGGTAATTCCTTAAACTTTTGACGTTAATCCTTGTTGAACAATATAAGTGTTTAAAATGAACAAGTTGTAAGGCCTTTGGCCAACCGGGCATGTTTTTTAGCTCGAGGAAGGGAAATTATATCCACCTGGGACGAAAGCCGCCCGGCATTGACGGAAGCCGCCCGGCTTCCGCTTCCGAATTTCTTGCAAAATTCTACGGTGACTATAAGACGCCCGACTTTGACGAAAGCCGCCCGGCTTTCGTACTTAATTTTGTTAAAATCTTTCGGCGGAGGAAAACCGGCCGGGTTTCGTAAAAACCGGCCGGCTTGTGTTCAGGCATCTCCGGGTGAGGCGCTACTAATGAAAACCGGCCGGCAATCGTAAGAACCGGCCGGCTTTTATAAATGAAAACTTCGTAATTCCTTCGGTGACCGAAAACCGGCCGGCTTTGGCAAAAACCGACCGGCTTACGTAACCAGCCATTCCGAGCCGTAAGCCAAGGCACGAAAACCGGCCGGCTTTCACGAAAAGCGGCCGGCTTTCCCTTATTGGTGCACGGTGTTGGTTTTTGGGTGGGAATCGGGATGGAGTCGGGATGGGGCGTTAGATGACGATCATCCAAACCATAGCCGGGGTATTCTACAACCTAAGAAATGAGTCTAATAAGTAGGGAGTGTGTCTTACATTGCTTATGAATGTAGGAACACTAAAGATTAACGGGAGAGACGTAAGAATCCTTATCGACACTGGGGCGCAACGATCATTCGTGAGTGAGGCGTTTGCCGGGGGAATTCAAAGAACCACTTGTACCGATGGCTCAAGCCCTATTGGTATCCACACCTCTAGGGGAAGACATCGAGAGAGATAGCCACTATCCATCGTGTGAGGTGGAAGTGGAGGGCCAAAGCTTGACGTGTGACTTCGTACCGCTGAGTATGATTGAATTCGATGCAATCCTGGGGATGGATTGGCTTGAGAAGCATCATGCTAGGGTCGATTACTACACAAAGATACTTGAACTCGAAGGCGATGAAGGGGTAACCTTACGCTTCGAGGGGGATCGGGCCAAATCCAATAGTTGTATCATATCCGCCGTGAGAGCTAGGAGTATGATGAGAAAGGGTTGCCACGCATGTCTAGCATACGTGGTAGACAAATCAAAAGAAGAGACGAGCATTGATGATGTGAGGGTGGTATGCAAGTATCCGGATGTCTTTCCAAAGGACTTACCGGGACTTCCACCCGATAGGGAGATTGAATTTGTGATCGAGGTCGAGCCCGGCACCAAACCAATCTCCATACCGCCATACCGCATGGCACCCGCAGAACTTAACGAGTTGAAAACCCAATTGCAAGAGCTTTTGGATAACGGTTTCATTAGACCAAGTCACTCCCCGTGGGGAGCACCGGTCCTTTTTGTGAAGAAGAAGGATGGAACACTTCGAATGTGCATTGACTATCGTCAACTGAACAAGGTCACAATCAAGAATAGGTATCCTTTGCCTAGGATTGATGACTTGTTTGATCAACTACGAGGAGCAACCGTGTTCTCAAAGATTGACTTGAGGTCGGGGTACCATCAATTGAAGACCAAGGAAGATGACATACCAAAAAGTGCTTTCCGCACAAGGTATGGGCATTTTGAATTCCTTGTTATGTCGTTTGGGTTAACAAACGCCCCCGCGGCATTCATGGACTTGATGAACCGAGTATTCCATAAATACTTGGACCGATTCGTAATTGTGTTCATAGACGACATCTTGATTTACTCGAAGAGTGAAGAAGAGCATGAGGAACACTTAATACTGGTTCCCGAGACACTGCGGGAGAAGAAACTTTATGCCAAATTTTCTAAATGTGAATTTTGGCTAAAGGAGATTGGCTTCCTCGGGCATGTGGTTTCGGGATCGGAAATTGCTGTTGATAACAAGAAGATAGAAGCCATTACCGAATGGGAGAGGCCAAAGAATGTCAAGGAAACTCGTAGTTTCCTTGGTTTGGCAGGCTACTACAGAAAGTTCGTGGAGAAGTCTCTGTTTTGGCATCACCATTGACGAAGCTCACTCGTAAAGGAGCTAAGTTTGTATGGGATGACAAATGTGAGAAAGGGTTCATTGAACTAAAGAAGAGGTTGACTGAGGCACCGGTACTCGCATTACCCAAACAGGGTGTGGGGTACGATGTCTATAGTGACGCAAGCATCCAAGGGCTTGGATGTGTGTTGATGCAGGAGGGAAGGGTAATCGCCTATGCTTCACGACAGTTGAAGACGAAGCATGAGGTGAATTATCCTACTCATGATTTGGAGCTCGGGGCAGTGGTATTTTCACTGAAGATTCGGAGACATTACCTCTACGGGGAGACATGTCATATATATACTGACCATAAGAGCTTGAAATACGTGTTTACTCAGAAAGAGTTGAACATGAGACAGAGGCGATGGATGGAGTTGATAAAAGACTACCATCTTATCATTGAGTACCACCCCGGTAAAGCCAATGTGGCGGCGGATGCCTTGAGCCGAAATAGTTCGTCTGGGGCATTGCTGACTAGTTTGAGGGCATTGAGAGCCCAATTGGAGGTACCTAGCGATGGTGCCTTATTGACATGATTTGAGTGAGACCTACTTAACTTGATGAGATCAAGAAGAGTCAAGAGACTCACAAAAAAACTGATGAAGGTCCGAGAACGCATGCTAGCGGGATCGGTGGAGGATTTCAGGGAGAGACAATGGTCTCCCCACGATGCATCGGGACATTTGTAATTCTCGAGGAAATTGGGGTCGTAGCATACCGATTGCAATTGACTCCAGAATTGGAGAAGATACATAACGTGTTCCACGTGTCTATGCTTAAGAAATGTGTGCCGGATCCGTCTCACGTGTTAGAGAAACCACCCGTGGAAATACGTGAAGACTTAAACTATGCCGTACGGCCGGTGAGGATACTTGATAGGCAAGTAAAGAAACTAAGAAGCAAGAAAGTTCCAATGGTGAAAATCCTTTGGAAAGGTGACCAAGTTGAAGAAGAAACTTGGGAAACGGAGGCTTTAATGAAGGAACAATACGCATTTCTTTTTGAATGAGCACTTGTGAATTTCGGGGACGAAATTCCCGTTAAGGGGGGGTGAACTTGTGACACCGCACCCGGATGTACGTGGATTCGAAATTTGATATGTACTTAAATTTCCTAACGAATAAAATCGTGTAATGGAATTGGTATATTTAATTAATGCGTGATTAATTAAATTATTTATCGGGTCCCTAATAATGGAAATGGACTCCCAAATATTTAGATGGGCCATGGAAAGGGCATGGAGTTGACCTGTTGGTCAAACGAGGCCCAATTACCGGTATTGGTAATTTATCGGATAACAGCCCGAAATGAATTTCGGGGACTCCTAAATTAATGTTGGGGAACATACATCTTCTCTAAAGGCCCATGATTATGAGGAACGCGTGATATATTTTATTTGGCCCGATAAAATAAAATATAATTAATACAGTCTGAGAAATACAACTTTCGGGGCCAATTATACACACCGGAACTTAATGGGATGACCTCCCACATGAGTGGGGGGCCACCCCACGTTTTTATATGTACAAATTGGCTGAATAAGAGCTGGAGGGGACAAGGGAAAATGGGTTGTGCGGACCTAAAGAGGAGGAAGCCTCCTAAGGACAATAAAATACACCCATGACCCCATCCTCCATATTATGTTTGGATTGATTGCATTGGGATATTTCTTCCACCCCTTGCAATCACTCGGCCAACCAAGAGGGAGAGAGAGAGAGATCCAGCAACTCTTCATCTAAACTCAAGCTTGAAGGAAGCAAGAGTAGGAGAAATCCAAGGAGAAAACTAGCAAGGAAGAAGGTAAGAACCCACCTATCTTCTTTAACTAGTTTTATAGTGTATGATTTTTAAGAAATCATATGGTGGATTAAACATGATGTTCTACACATTTAAAAGTGTATAATATTGTTATAAAATGGTGGTATTTAACTTAGAAGAGTCGTGGAATCGATAGGAGTTGAAACCGCCGGAAACCGCCAAGTGTAGGAGGCTGTTCGTAGTTGCAGACCACGAAAGCCGCCCAGCTTTCGTGAAAGCCGCCCGGCTTTCACCTTCTGCCCAGATTTTCACTTTCAATCGGTTTAGAACGGGGATTGATCGGAGGGCTTAACAAAGGCAACTATTTCAGCACTTCATAAGGTGAGGATGGCTGACTATATTGCTTATAATCTTTGGGTTAATTTCATGAGATTACCTAAAGTTGTTAAAAGTGATTTTCATGGATTATTAATGATTAATAATGCCTAAATGAAAATATTATTGTTTATAAGTAAATGAAGCATGATATACAAATTTGGAAGAAATTGTGTATGATTATGTGATATGAAAGGAATGGTATGGTAATGGAATTAACTATGAAAATGGTGATAAAATATACTTTTACTTCATGTATGAAATACATGAATGGATAAAAGTGATATTTTTGATATTGGGATTAAATCATATTTGGATCGGAAAATCAATTGAGATAAACTATTTGGCTATGAATTAAGAACTTGGTTGTTCTAGGATTATACGACTAGTATCGAAATACTAGTCGGGAGATTCATATAAATAAATGATGGAATTAATCCTAAGAGATAGGATTGTGAATAGATATGCCTTAAGTAGTCTTAAGTGATGCTTTAAGGTCGAATTGTATGAACACTAAGGTGTGTTAGGGGTAGGCCTAAGGGCTATCCAAGTGAATCGATTCTAGGCATAGGATTTGCTTGAGAATTGGACTATGAGAATAAATTAGAGTTGGACTCTAGGATTACATGGAAATGTAGTTGGGCCGAGCCCTTGCCATGTAATGTGTTTAGCATGGAAACGTAGTTGGGCCGAGCCCTTGCCATGTCTTGTGATCTTCATGGAAACGTAGTTGGGCCGAGCCCTTGCCATGAAGTTATGGTTGGTATGGAAACGTAGTTGGGCCGAGCCCTTGCCATACAAATTTAGACATATTAAATTGAGTCAAAGGATTGTATAGAAATGTAGTTGGGCCGAGCCCTTGCTATACAATCGGGACTCGAGGGAACCCTATGGGGTTGTCGTGACTCATAGTCACGGGGAATAAAAATGGTGAATTCTAATGAATATGGGCCCACGGGCCGACTACTTGACTTTATATAAAGTAAGTATAATTATAAAACAGGGTAACCGGGGGTTACGGCCTATGATATGATATCACCTTATTTGAGGATCTTAAGGGATTGAAACATTGATTATACTTAGTATAGTTGTCATTGTACTTGTCAAATGCTTCCAAGTACTGACCTCCCCTTCACGGGGGAGGCCACCTCACAGTTTCAGGTAGAACTTGACGGTTGCTGCCACCGCCCGTTGCTTCGGGGGAGATCAAAGGGGGAAGACGTGGTTCGTGCTTCTTCCGTTTCTGTTTTGAAAACAATTTAAATAATGCTCATGGATATTTTCTTGAATAATCATTTGGGGGCTTGTATGCCCATGTTTGCCGAGTGTGGCATAAACACTTGTATTAAATGTTTCCGCTGCTTAAATGAATATTTTACATTATGCTTGTTTATGGATGTACTATGTGTGAATGGTATTCAAGACGCCTTGTATAGTATGGATGAGTTGGACTGCGGTTGACTATTCGTACTGTACGGCGGGTTGTTGACGTGTCCGGATAGGTCCGGGGCGTGACACCTGGAGTTCAAGAGATGCATATATGAACATGCAGTGTATCTAAAGGCTACTGAAATGGATGTCATCATAGTTGGTGTGTATGTAGATGATCTTTTTCTCACAGGATCAAATCCAGGACACATTCAGAACTTCAAGACAGAGATGATGAACATTTTTTATATGAGTGACCTGGGAATACTCAGTTACTATCTGGGGTTGGAAGTGAAGCAAGAGGAAGGAGTCATAAGTTTAAATCAATCAAGCTACGCTAAGAGAATCTTGGAACAGATGGGAATGGGAGAATGTAACCCCTGCAGCATACCTATGGAACCTAGGAGCAAACTCAGCAAGTTTGATGAAGGGATACCTGTTGATTCTACATTGTACAGAAGTGTTGTTGGAAGTTTGAGGTACTTGGTAAACACTCGACCTGACATAGCATATTCTGTGGGGATTGTAAGCAGATATATGGAAGCACCAACTCAAACTCACATGAATGCAATAAAGCATGTCCTAAGATATGTCAAAGGAACATGTAATATGGGGTGTGTGTTCAAGCATGGAGACAAAATCAGTAGGCTGACTGGTTTTGTGATAGTGATCTTGCAGGAGATGTGGATGATCGAAAGAGTACAACAGGAATCCTATATTTTCTTGGGGAAAACCCAATAACTTGGGTGTCACAGAAACAGAAAATTGTGGCACTCTCCTCCTGTGAGGCAGAGTATATTGCAGCCACTGGAGGAGCCTGTCAAGGGATATGGCTTATGAAGTTGTTGGAAACTCTGAGAGGAAAAGTGGGAGATAAACCGGTGTTGAAGATAGATAACAAGTCAGCTATTGATATTCGTGTAATTTCCGATTGTATGTTTGTATTTTTAACTAGTTTTTATTAATTGTAGTTGTGGAAATTACACACTTTTGGTGTAATATTTTATTTTCATTTTAATTTGTAATTTGTTTAGATTAGGATTATTCTGAGCTAAACAGGTCAAAGATCATCGAAGGGATCAAGATTGGACCTTAAAAGATCAAGGAAAGTGCCAGGAGACAAGAAAGATTTCGATTTGGAAAAAATACTCATGTACCCGGTCGGGTATTGCCTATACCCGATCGGGTATTCACTTGATTCGATTGTCCAAATCAAATTCGGGAACAAATGATCGTGGGAGCAAAGTTTCGTGAAGATTTGTCACATACCCGATCGGGTATGCCGACATACCCGATCGGGTATGCCCAGAAAAGTGACTTTCTGGGCAATTTCCTAAGATACCCGATCGGGTATCCTATATACCCGATCGGGTATCAGACCCTGCAGCTCCCAAAAGCCTATAAATACACCCCTTTCCTTCACAATAAAATCACCAATTCACATATACTCTTTAGTTCAGTTTAGATTAGTGTTTACTTTATATTTTCTATCATGTTTAGTCTCCAAATGAGGAGCTAAACTCTTCCATCTTGGTTTTGCTACTTTGAAGCTTAATGAATTTGTAAGTTGTGAGTTATTCTCTTTAATCTTCTTCCTTGAATATTAATTCTTCCTTTAAATACTATTTCTATATCAATGTTGGGGAGTGTTACTAAGATGACAATTAGTTAACATCTTGACATTAGTTATAGTAATAATTATTTCTTCCTCTACGTTAATATTGGGGAGTGTTACTAAGATGACAATTAGTTAACATCTTGATATTAACTATAGTAGGATTCATCTTCTTTAATATTCTTTCTTGAGTATTAATTAATTCCTATTCATATTTCATATTAATATTTTGAACATTACTTAAAGGATCAACTAGTTTTGTTTCATATATTAATTAATACTAGAATCAGTCGATTAATACGCTTGTTATTAATTCGGTCCTTTCATGGTAGTAAACTTGGATTATTAATGCATGCATCTCATGGTTAATAATCTAAAGGGAATTAATTATATTGATTAAACCAATAAACCGCTTGTGTTGAGGTTATCAATCTCAATCGTTTTCATCTTAAGTTTATTTCTACTATCAAGTTAATATACTTCGCTTGTTCTATATTGACTCGATAGTAAGTTTTATTAATGAACGCTTCTCGTTATTAATAACTACCCTCGATGAACTGGATATACTCCTCGATTGAGTATTCGAGAGGAAGATAGTTAAAGATATAACCGGGATCGACGAACATTTTATTAAGTGGATAAAAGCAAAGCCAAGTCTTCTTCTCATTAATTAAACTCATTTAAGTCATCCATCTTAGTGTTAATTAAATCAAATCAAATCTAAAAAACCCCCTTTGTTACTAGTTAATTAAAAAGAGAAATATTCCTTTCCCTGTGGATACGAACCTTACTTCGCTATACTACGTATTAGTGTCGTATTGTATTATTACTTTGAGTGCACACCACGACAAAGTGCACGTCAAATTTGGCGCCGTTGCCGTGGAAAGGCAATTATTTTTCTTTTTATTTTATCTCATAAAAAAAAATCTTAGTTTTCTATTTTCTGAGCTTTCATGGGTATATGGATACCAACACATCATCCCTAGAGAGTCAAATTTCCGACTTGACTTCTCTAATAAAGGAGTTTATTTCATGTTCAAAATCTCAAGATGTCCATACATGCAACATTTGCATGTCACACAGGCATCTTACGGATTTTTGCCCAGAGCTTCAAAAAGAATACTTTGAACAAAGGAATGATGTTGGTTTCCAAGAGAGGTATGATTCATTCTCCAACACATATAACCCATACTCAAGTTCTTATTCCAGCATGTCCACTGAAGACATGATCCGAGCTCTCACTATCAATGTGACGAATATGCAACAAAATATGTCACAATGCCCGCAAGAAACAGTGTCCAACGAACAGAACTTGGACAATCAGTTGAAACAAATGCCAAGCATTGTGAACCACATGGGCGAGGAGGAGGAAGAAGAGGAGCTTACGGAGAAAGCTCAACCGGAGGAGGAACCTCAAAACTCAACTCCACCACCGGCCATTCCTGAAATCATGCCACCATTTCCTGAGACTCTAAGGGAAACACAAAGGATGGAGAACGACAAAGACATCTACGAAATCTTCAGCAATTGTGAGTATCATTTAGATTTCTCTTCGTTCACAAATATGCAGGGAATAACGGTGGAGTTACGCAAACATTTCATACTCCCTCTTATACCACCCAGATCAAAACCCCTTCGATTGACTATGCTAAGTGAAAATCATGGACCCTCACTCTTACAATATGAAGTGATAGAAATCCGGATATTTGATCCTGGAAAGATTGTCAAAATAAAGGGTCGACAAATTGAGCCTTTCTATAAAAGTCACTCGGGCGAAAATGTGAAGAAGAGGGATCATCACGATCCAAGCCTAAACGACTGAAATTAAAAAAGATGGTGTCGTGCCACGACGTTAAATAAGGCGCTTTTTGGGAGGCAACCCAAGTGAGGTACATCATTGTGTGTTTATTTTATTTTATTTTTTCTTTTTCTTTCCCCTACACAACCTCCTTTTCACCTCTTTTCATCTTTAATCTTTCAAAACACCATCCAATTCCACCCCAATCACCCCAACCCTCATAACCATATCCTTCTTTCTTTAAAAATCTATCCAAATCCTCCACCAAACCCCACACACAAAACAATCATAATCTTGTTCTCATCACTTTCCTCTTACTCCACATACCCTCTAATCCATAAACTCTTACACTCACCCCTCTCCCAAACCACAATTTTATATCTTCAAAAAAACCCAAAAAAAGTGATGGCGATAACGAGCACTAGGGACAGTGCTCCGAGCTAAGCGAGGGGGAGTCACTCATTGGTACGCAATTAATTTTTCTACCTTGTAACTTGCATTATTATTATTTTTTTCACAAAAAAAAAAGAGAAATGCTAGTTAGGTTGAAAACCCAAAAATGGGCAATCTAAGCAAAAAGGGCTTATAAAAAAAATGAGTGAGTTGGAAAGGATGGAAAAACAAAAAGAGATGCTAGGATGAAAACCTGAAAAGGCTCCTAGGCAAAATGAGAGATATGAGAGATACATTTGTTTTTGCAGAACATCATTTAATCTCTTGACGGAAAAGAAGAATAAAAGAGGTGAAGAAAAAAATGAGCATAGAAGGCCATGAAACCCAAGAAGATGTTATTTTTTTATTGAGCTAAAAACTCAATGTAAAAAAAAATAATGTTTTATCCTTGGTGGTCTTTTGCTTTTTCTTGTTGATTGTTGAACTTTTGAGGATTTGGAAGTGTTAAACATTTGACTTTACTCGAGGACGAGTAAAGAAGCTAAGTGTGGGGGAGTTGATATTCGTGTAATTTCCGATTGTATGTTTGTATTTTTAACTAGTTTTTATTAATTGTAGTTGTGGAAATTACACACTTTTGGTGTAATATTTTATTTTCATTTTTATTTGTAATTTGTTTAGATTAGGATTATTCTGAGCTAAACAGGTCAAAGATCATCGAAGGGATCAAGATTGGACCTTAAAAGATCAAGGAAAGTGCAAGGAGACAAGAAAGATTTCGATTTGGAAAAAATACTCATGTACCCGGTCGGGTATTGCCTATACCCGATCGGGTATTCACTTTATTCGATTGTCCAAATCAAATTCGGGAACAAATGATCGTGGGAGCAAATTTTCGTGAAGATTTGTCACATACCCGATCGGGTATGCCGACATACCCGATCGGGTATGCCCAGAAAAGTGACTTTCTGGGCAATTTCCTAAGATACCCGATCGGGTATCCTATATACCCGATCAGGTATCAGACCCTGCAGCTCCCAAAAGCCTATAAATACACCCCTTTCCTTCACAATAAAATCACCAATTCACATATACTCTTTAGTTCAGTTTAGATTAGTGTTTACTTTATATTTTCTATCATGTTTAGTCTCCAAATGAGGAGCTAAACTTTTCCATCTTGGTTTTGCTACTTTGAAGCTTAATGAATTTGTAAGTTGTGAGTTATTCTCTTTAATCTTCTTCCTTGAATATTAATTCTTCCTTTAAATACTATTTCTATATCAATGTTGGGGAGTGTTACTAAGATGACAATTAGTTAACATCTTGACATTAGTTATAGTAATAATTATTTCTTCCTCTGCGTTAATATTGGGGAGTGTTACTAAGATGACAATTAGTTAACATCTTGATATTAACTATAGTAGGATTCATCTTCTTTAATATTCTTTCTTGAGTATTAATTAATTCCTATTCATATTTCATATTAATATTTTGAACATTACTTAAAGGATCAACTAGTTTTGTTTCATATATTAATTAATACTAGAATCGGTCGATTAATACGCTTGTTATTAATTCGGTCCTTTCATGGTAGTAAACTTGGATTATTAATGCATGCATCTCATGGTTAATAATCTAAGGGGAATTAATTATATTGATTAAACCAATAAACCGCTTGTGTTGAGGTTATCAATCTCAATCGTTTTCATCTTAAGTTTATTGCTACTATCAAGTTAATATACGGCGCTTGTTCTATATTGACTCGATAGTAAGTTTTATTAATGAACGCTTCTCGTTATTAATAACTACCCTCGATGAACTGGATATACTCCTCGATTGAGTATTCGAGAGGAAGATAGTTAAAGATATAACCGGGATCGACGAACATTTCATTAAGTGGATAAAAGCAAAGCCAAGTCTTCTTCTCATTAATTAAACTCATTTAAGTCATCCATCTTAGTGTTAATTAAATCAAATCAAATCTAAAAAACCCCCTTTGTTA